TCACTATAGAACATGAGAGATCGCCTGTCATGGCACGTGAATGTGACGTGGCTTGTGGAGAGACCCTGGAAAAAGATTATTTATATTTGATAAATGGGGGGAAAAAGTGTTATGTATTTTTCCAAGTTTATTTCCGTAACGACGCGTTTGTTCTCATGGTGCTATATTCAACAGGGAAAATGATATTCATGGACGATTTATATTTCTGAAAAGATTGCAATCCATTAAAAAAAACATATATCCACATTCAATTACCAAAATAGTATGAACTTATTAAGGAAAGATATACGAACATACACAATAAAGTGAACTTTAAAAATCTAACAAACCTAAGAAAAAAAAAAAAAACTTACCAGGACGAGCAGCTGTTCATCTTCCCTAAGAATAACACCAACGTCTATTTTGGACATCCTCACAAACGACCACACAACCACATCTCCAGGAAAAGTAACTCTCGTATCTCTCGCGACATGGACGTGGTTTCTGCACACGCGCTCTGGAAAAGGTTTCGACCGTTTGCGTTGGATTAAAGCATCTTGGTTATTGTATGTGAAACAGATGTTGAAGGTAGTATATGAATGCGAGCGTCCCTCTCTTTCCTCTGCGCGTGTGTGTGTGTGTGTGTGTGTGTGTGTGTGTGTGTGTGTGTGTGTGTGTGTGTGTGTGTGTGTGTGCGTGTGTGCGTGTGTGCGTGTGTGTGTGTGTGTGTGTTTGTGTGTGTGTGTGTGTGTGTGTGTGTGTGTGTGTGTGTGTGTGTGTGTGTGTGTGTGTGTGTGTGTGTGTGTGTGCGTGTGTGTGTGTGTGTGTGTGTGTGTGTGTGTGTGTGTGTGTGTGTGTGTGTGTGTGTGTGTGTGTGTGTGCGTGTGTGAACTAACCTGAGTAGCATCCAGCCCACGGATGATCCAAGGTTTCATTGACATCCAAAGCAGGATCGACTATCACCCACGCCCCTTGGTGGCAACACACGCCCACACTCTCGTAGGGTTCGCTGGAGAGAGTAAAGACCTCTCCCACAGAACATGTGATATTTGCGCAGGTTCCTTCATCACCCTGCAGGAAGTAAGCGTGGATGCGTGGGTGTTTTGAAAATGTTTGTATTTGTAACCTGGGATTTATTGAGTGTGTATTCCTTCTTAAATACAGGAATCCAGTGAACTTTGAAAGGAGTAACAAAACATGAATAAATAAAGAAGAAACAAACACAATATTCCAATCCAGAAAACAGTAGACTTAACAGTTTTTTGTTTAGTCTTACCCAAAGGCCACCGTTTTCTGTCGTCTTTCCTGTGGTCTGAATAGTCTCCGGAGGTCCATACAGTAGCACCGAGAGGTTGGCAAAACAGCTGTATTTCTCCTGCAGCGGTATCTCTGCTGTTCTCGCTGTCGTGCTTGTTATGTTCTCCAGCAGTGTTGTTTCAGTTGTTGTTCTCCCTGTTCCTGCGGTGGTCGAACTTGCGATCTTTGACATTTCTGCTGTTTTTGCCGTTGTTTGCGATTCTGTTGTGGCTGAGGCTTCTGTTGTGATCGATGCTTTAGTTGTAGTTGATGTGGATAAAACTTGTGTTGTAGTCGATGTTGTGGTTGAAACTTGAGTTGTAGATGAAGCTTGTGTTATGGTTGACTTCATTGTGGTATCATTCGCAAAGGTCGGATGAGCCGATACCAAGGTCAAGATGAAAACCATCCCCACTGCTAAGTCTCTCCTTAAAAAGAAAAATATAAAAGTAGACTAAAGAAAGAAGGAAGGGAAGAGAGAAAAAAAGTAACTCAAGAAACAGGCATTAACCAATATTTCACTGTGGAAAAAAATAATAAATATAGACATACAAACAAAATTTGTCTTCAATAACTATTCATAACCCTTCCAACTGTTAAATATAAAAATATATATATATATAAAACAAGTCAATAAAACAATCCAAAATCTCACCTTTTTCGAAACAGGACCCAAAACCCCATTTTCTTTCCCATGTTCGACCCTCGCTTCCAGAAACAAAACCAAACCAAAAAATCGTTGGAAAATCCTTTCAGTTCACTCTCTTCCCATTTTCCTCCCAATCTACAAGAAGACTAACACCAGACTTCCGCTTCCCACCGTTAGCACGCTGATACTGATTCGTTTCGCTGCAAAACGCGGGTTCGAACGAAGACGTTTTAGCTCCGGAACCCCACTGAGGACTTGTCAGGATAATAGAGAATGTGGTTTCATACTCTTTTACCGTTGCCTTTTTTATTTTATTTGTTAGATTATTTATATTGACGTCAAGATAATGTGGAGAGGATGTTGATGTTGCTCTTTTACTTTTTCTTTTCTTTTTTTAATGTCAAGAGAATTTATTGCTTCGGTATTGCTCTGTGGAATGGGTGGGTGCTCGAAGAGAGATCGTTGTGCCTAATTTGCCATTGATTTATAACGTGGTTTGTTCCTTTTGGGAGGGGTAATATTTTATCTAAAAGGTTAAAAAGATATTTGATATTTGCGAAGTATTTCTTTGTTCCT